TTCGGCGATATTGGTACAATATCAGTTTCCAAATGTGGGTAGAATATTCTCATATCAATATTGGTTGAATATTCGTGGAGTTATATTGGTCACAAAATGTAATATCAATATTGGCGAGAAATTAATGGTGAACATTCGGCAATATTGGTGCAATTTTATATGGAAATATCGGTGAATCATTGAAAAACATCATGAAGCTATGTTGTCTCAAAAATATTGGTAGAATATTGTCATAACAATATTGCTGGAATATTATAGTAATATACCGGTGCAATATTGGTACATTATTGAAAATCATGATGTAGCTATGTTGTCTTCGAAATATTGGTGGAATATTTTCATATCAATATTTGCAAGTTATTCGCATTAGGAATAATCACAAAGGTCAGCCCAGCCGAAGTGCAATGGGAGGGCCTTGCCTTGGGGAAGCTGCCTTATTGATCACGGTTAACTCCTACTCTAGGTAATAATGCTTTACAATCGTCTAGAGCCAATATCTATATTCTCTCGTCCGATCGGCAATGGGAGTACGTTACGAATCATTTATAGCGCCATCTATCGACATCGGTTTGAGAGTGCATGCTATGGAATTATTATCGGAATTTCGATATCGATATGTATTCTCAAAACAATATGTGAACAATATTGATCACATGATATAGTGGATCAGATATCAGCCAATATAAAATGATATTACTTTCTGAATATTCCTGGAAGACTATATTCAACCGGTATGCAATTGAACTTGAAAATACAATATTGTTTTTCTCTTTCATGACCGATATAAGATATGTATTGAATTGCCGTTATTGATATTCATATTTGAAACAATATGCATTCGATATCTTTCGCATGATATAGTTGAAACGATATCAATCAATTTGGGTAAATATGATGTTTTGAATATTGTCGAATAAACAATATTCAAAAATGAGTCGTCGAACTCGAATATACAATTTTGCATAACCGCTTCAGAATCGACATGGGGAGAATGTTCAAATTGCGATATTGGTTATAATTGTTGGAAACAATATGTATACGATATCTTCCGCGTGATATAGTTGAAATGAAATCAATCAATATACGTGAATTCAATGTGCCAAATAGTGTTGAAACAATATTCTACCAATGTGCCGTCGAACTCGAACATACAATATTTCATAACCGCTTCAGAATTGACATGGGGGGAATTTTCAAAATGCTATATTGGTTATAATTGTTGAAAACAATATGTATATGATATACCTTCTGCATGATATGGATAAAATGATATCAATCAACATAGGTGAATATGATGTTTCGAATATTGTTGAAACAATATTCAACCAATATGCCATCGAACTTCAATATACAATATTGCACAACCGCTTCAGAATCGACATGAGGAGAATAGTCAAATCACGATATTGGTTATAAATGTTAGGAACAAAATATATACGATATCTGCCGCATGATATAGATAAAATGATATCAATCAATATAGGTGAATATGATATTTCAAAGATTGTTAAAACAATATCCAACCAATATGCCGTTCAACTTGAATATACAATATTGCATAACCGCTTCAGAATCGACATGGGGAGAATGTTCAAATTGCGATATTGGTTATTAATGTCGGGAACAATATGTATACGATGTTGTTGTATCGACATTTGTAAAACAATATTATATAACATTTATGGATATGTTTTTCAACACATTGTTAACGAATTTTACAACCAATATTGCTCCGATATTGTAGCTGACAATGCATATTCAGCTCAGGTTGAACCAATATTCCACCAATATTATCATTTCAATATTGTATGTCCAATATACTCTCATATTGGACCTATATTATGTTTCACATGTACGATATATCTATATCGGCCCAATATGGAATCGGGTTTCAGCCAATATGATGTGCTACCTGGGTTGTTTATGTTCGAGGAATTCAGTGCGTACATAGGAAGGTTAGGACGGGAAATTTGGTATATATTATTATGTTCTTGAGAATATTTACTTCTTTAGACAAACAAATTCGAAGCTTTGTTCTATAAACAGACGAATTCTGGTGGAGAATTGTTAGATATTTATCGGGGTTGGGGAAGGCAGATCGTATATATGTTCATATAGATTCACATAATATAGTGGAGAGCCTCGACTTCCCTACGATGTTCGAATAATCGCAATACAGAATTTATGAGTATAGCGCATCACCAATCATTAGGTTCGTGTCTGGATGAAGCATCAGCTTAAGTTTGAATGCGGAACCGCATAATATTATATGTTGTAATAGTATGCTAGGAATCTCTGCTTCGTAGATCATGAGAATCTGTTCAGCAGTAAAGGTAGCTTTCGGCTCGAAAAACTTGAAATCCGAGTTTTTGTGGCCTAATAATTTCCGCTTTTCCAGATAAATACAGGTTTGAGATTTGGTGATATTGAATTCAACTAGATTGTTGATTCCCAAGGTTGTTATTCTAGCAATATTTTGATTGAAAGTATTGAGTTTCATCCGTCATGATTTCTTCGTTTCCTGATATGAAGTAGAAATTCTGGGAGGAAACCGATTATGAATTGTCTCAACAGATTATTGATATGAAGGAGGAACAATGTTGAAGCCACAATTGATCCTTATGAAAGCCTGAATTTATGGTTATGGTATCAACTGATACCGTTCACCACCACATGAAGCAATCTAGGGTTTCATCGAGACGAGAAATCTCGTCTCGAAGGCACTTTCTCGTCTCGTCTCGATCATCGAGACGAGAAATAAACAAACTCTCGTCTCGATGTTTTTCTCGAAGACAATTTCTCGATCTCGATTCGAGACTCTCGAAATTTCGAGAGTCTCGAAAACAAAAACTGAACGTTATTAAAAAATGCTATGTATAGGTTATAAGGCTGCACCAAAATACAGGGTATTGAATTTTCTCTATGAAAAAATCACGTCAAAACACAGAGGCTATGTGCTATGAACTAAAAGCCACGTATAAAAAAAAACGGCCGAGTATCAGCACAGAAATAAAGAATATTGTTCCAAAAAATGAAAATTTAACGAATCCTTGATGTTTCAATTTACCTAATCTTTTATCCATACTTTTAAATTTACCTAGGTACGAAAGGTGAAAGTTGAAAATTGTTTCTTTTTTTGTGAAGAATGTGACAGCAACAGCAACATACTCAATTCATATAATCGAAAAAAAAATTATTGAGAAAATTATTTTATCTCAATAGTAGGGGTCTAAGTACTGCATAGTGGAATTTATGCAATTTTAATTACGATATTCCTTCAACATCGCAGCCTCTTACTGACTATGATGTTGATGACAATACCGACGATTTTAATTTGCAAAGTTCATTCGAAAAGAGCAACGGCAACAGAGAGCATAACTGGAGAAAAGAAATAGATGAATATTATTGTTTGTCTAAGAGAGCTGAATGAAATCAAGATATTTTAGAGTGGTGAAGACAAAACGAGGCCATATATCCGAATTTATCAAAGATGGCTCGTGATTTTTTGAGTATTCAAGCTACTTCAGTTCCGGCAGAAAGACTGTTTTCAAGAGCAACACTTGCCATCAGAAGAGAACGAAGCCGATTGACTGGAGATACCATAGATATATTTACAAGTGTGTAAACAACAATTTTGTTCTCTGTTGAAAAACTTTGTATATTGTTTATTCATTTTCTTATAATTTGTTAATTTTTGAGAGTTCAACTTTGATTCTCGTATTTGATAGTTTTCAGACGTTAAAGTTCTTTAAGAATATGAAGATATTCATTTCTACCATTGCCCTTTTTATTTACTCTCTTTGTTATTTTTTTGTTATTTTCTGTTATTATGTTTGAAATAAATTTACATTATTTTTTCGCAAAGTTTTTTATTCTCTCATTTCTTGAGTATTCAGGGATGTGAGTTATTGCAGCACATATATTTTTTCGAGATCGAGAAATCTCGAAATCATTTCTCGATCTCGAAAAATCTCGAAGTGCTTTTCTCGATCTCGTCTAGAAAAAAAAAAGTAAGTCTCGTCTCGATCTCGTCTCGAAATCGAGACGAGACGAGACGAGAAATCTCGAATTTCGTGAGTCTCGTGAAACCCTAGATGTTAGTGTATGAAGGAGTCTTTGCGAATGCTCTACATATTTTATACTAGCGATTATTAACAGACATAATTGCCCATAGAATGATATTATACCGTGTGTCACAAAAGTCAATCTTCTATTGCTACAGCTATAAAAGCCTGTATTTATATAAATAATGACGCTTTCTTTTGACAACAAACATAATGATTATGGAAAACTACCCGTTGAACCTCTTGCGAGACCGCATGTGAAGCAACTGTTTTATCTCCCTTACAAAAAACATGAAAGAGGTCTGATTGAAAAGATGTCAAGACAGATGAAATACACTAATGAGATAATAAGTCCCATTCGAAACATTAAACTTTGGATATCCTTAGGAAGTCGTGAAAAATAATTGTGCCGCCATTTCCGTACATATATATATATCCATGATGTCGTAGAACGAAAATGTCTCCGTAATTAAGATGTGAAAATGAAGGATATGCATTGTGTATCAGCCAAATGAATCCACAAAGTCAGTTTCAATGTTGCTTCTATAATTGTGCAAAACATAACAATATCAGGAGGAGTGTTTCTTGTAGAGAATTGTAGAAAATGTTTGTTGTTTTAATGCGCTTCTAAAAATATCAATCAATACGCCCCCGATTATATTCTTCATCCAACTTATTCCATTTGGATGATACGCACTGTATAATAATATAAAAAAAGGGCTGCATTCTACTGCTCTCAACAGGCTTTGGTCAATCTATGGATCTACTAATATTGTCCGTGTGTGTACATAAGGTAATTTTCGTTTTATGAATACGACCACTTCCGTTCTCACATTTTATATCTGGCTCGATCGTAGGCTTCACGAAAATTAGATGGTCTCTATCAAATACAATGATGAATTCGGTCCTTTGGTCTACCTAGTTTTGATTTTCCAGATGCAAGATTGGATGGTGGGGCAAAAATTGTGAAAAATGTTTTCCGTATCCAGGATGTGTCCATGGATCATGCCGTCGACCTTGGGAATGCAACTGTAAAAAAGGATGGGGAGGAATGCTTTGTGATGAAGGTAAGCAATTCCAACAATTATACAAAATAAATATGAACGTACCGTAGATTCAACTTAACTGGGTAATGTATCGAATGCTTTTATATTGTGGTTTTATTTCTGTATAGATATACCAAAGACAATAACCCTGTGGCGTGCTGTGAGTTTCATATATAGGAAAGCAGGAACAAAGAAAAAACAAATAAAGTGTCATAGGCAAAAACAAGTAGTTGCAATTAGGACTTCTGAATTATAATAATCCAACTTAACTTTTCTCGAAACAGATATCTTTTTATTCAATTGGTGTTCCCAGCAGACACATTCGAATAAATCCACAAGTATGTGAATACAGTATTTGCTAATATTGACAAGTCATCCCATTTTCCCGTTACTCATTCTCACTCCTCAGTTATACCAGTAAGTATAATTGCTACAAAAAAAACTGAAATTGCTGCCAGAGTACGTTTCAGTTCTTTGCATCGCATATCAACGTGAGAATCTTGAACTTTTTGAAGCAATTCCATAAAATTTCTGTTGTTCGTATTAAAAACGTTTGATATCGAACTCTAAATTAATCTGATTCGAATTGTATGGAATCCATGGAAGTAATGAAATTTTTCAAAGAGTCGTCAGCATTTCAACTGCCATACTGAAATCCTTCCATTTCATTGTCATAGATGTTTCATATGTCCATCTACTGAGAAAATCAGATTTTACTGAAGTGAGTTGCCTTGGATCTATTAGTTTCAGTCTGTGGAAAATATGGTAGGTGGGTTATTATAAAGACCTCCTAGGGACACCCTGTATATTGTTAAAGACTCATTACTGTAGCATGGAATGGGTCCTAATGAGTACTTTATCTTTATCCCACCCAGGTGAAAGGCTGACTTTCACTTTGATGGCATCTGACTGAGGACTGTGGATAGCAGAGGACATAGTGATATGTGAAGGGGTGTAAGCAAAACATTCTAAGTGCACTTTTTTGGTGAATCGACCTACGCATTGCTTAGACCTCCCGAAGTGTCATTCTATATCGAGTTCAAAAATTACCCAAGCCGAATTTCATCTCTTGATGAGAGTAAAAAGTGGTTGGACGAGAATACTGTAATAGTTGGAAACAAAACGGCTTGAGCATTACTTATCTTGTTTTACCCCTCAACAGTTTGTCTGATTTGAATCGAATACTAGTCGCCACTATGTTGAGTCGAAGTTAATAATCACTAATCAATTTATTGTTATTATAATTGTCAAATTTCAGGCAATGATAGCTCTGTTTGATAAATGACCATTACTTGATCAGATAGCTACAGTCCAAAAAATGAAAATCCGCTTTTATCTGTTACAGCCGTAGAAATAGTAGATTGTTTGATACGAATGAAACATGCTATTTTTTCTGCAACCGAAACAAATAACTTAAATAAATATGTGAAGTTACCACCAATACCGTGCCATATGTATGCAATGCAACAAATATTGAAAAATAATCCGTGTGGTGAGAACATTCTACCTGCATCAACAGCAGGTTCATTCAATTTTCAAGGATGTTCGAATTGTAGTTTCAATATAAATACCACACAGAGTGACATATTTGTGTATGGACCAGGTGCTCTAATGGCAAATACCGCGTCAGTGCCAGCCAAGGTAGAAACAAGACTTGGAAAATGTTAGGTTAGTGAGCACATCAACAATAAGAATAGCAATTATTTTTTCCTCTCGGTAATACAATGTTTGTCGCTTGATAATCAAATGAAGGTTAACAATATCGTCGTTTGAGACAAAAAACTATTGCTTGCCGTGATTATCCAAAAACAAGTTATCCATCCCGAGAATAACGAATAAAATACAGATCAAGCAAGTATTTGAATCTTGAAGGCTTCCCTGATCAAAACAAAAATACTTAACTGAGATGTTTATAATTCCAATACTAAACTATAATAAGGTGTATTTATATCTTCAGCATGGGTATGAAATGCCAAATCTGCTGAAATCGGAAACAAATCAGGTATGCGTCTCAACCCAAATAACCAACCGTCACAATGTTGTTTATTCTTGATGACGTCCAGTAGATCCTTTTTAGTTCCTAGGAACTGAATATGTTGCCTAGCAACATACCTATTTTTGTGTCAGTAATAGAAACGTCAATTTAGGAGCTGATTTTGGTATCAAAATGGACGACTTTTGTGTCGGTTGCAGAAAAAAGTTTTTGTGTATAACTCGCACGGTATGCTAATTCCCCACTTCTTTCATTGGTAGCTTTCGTCCACGGCTCATGCTGCAAACTTCATTCTCATTGGAAATGACAATCATTCTGTGCTCCTTGAACAATATAGGTACTATATATCGGTAACATAACTTCATCTTATTCATTTAGCTGATAAGATGACTTTCGGATTCAAAATTTCTCAGAATGTCATCGACAGAAGGTAATATTCGTTCAAGATTTTGAATGATATTACATCGAATCGAATAAAGAATCTATATTTTAGGTAATATAGGTAATATACAACAAAAAGTATGAAATATCTGAGAATTTTCCTTTTCAATACTGAGTGAAGGTTTATCGATATATTCCGTTGCACAATTATCTCAATTAACTCTCCTGAATTTTCATTCAATGAAATGGGCAATGTGACTCTCGATGCTGAATATATCCGTTCACGAAATAATTCATTCGAATAGCTATTGAAGGGCTTGATACCCAATTAGGACTAAATAGGTATATCCACCTTCACGACAGAAACTTCTCAGGACTTTTATATATCATTTTTATGCTCACTCCGACGTCCAACTTTTTATTGACCTTCTTCTGATGACTCCCATCAGAAAACTGTTATGGCTGATTGGCGAAGTTTTTAATCCCCAAGTTGTATACCTATGAATGCCAATAGATCTATTCCATGAATTAATGTGAGACAAGTTATCGCATTCAGTTGATATATGAGAAGCAATATCGAATAGGACTTATGTTGAAATATTCAGTTGGATTAAGTGGATGATATCGATGATACTTCAGTTTCTTCTCTATTAAGGGGTAGAAGAACGGACTCCGTCTTTCTCACTAAATATCTCCGCCTCGCTCGTTCGATAGGCGCATCTTATTACCGCGAAGAAGACATACGAGGGGATGTCCAAGATTATTCGGGAGCGAAATATGTATAGAAAAGTGAACGATTTTTAGATGCTGTGGGAAAAGTTGCCGCGAATTTTCAAAGCTGCTCTTCTGTATGATAGTTAGAAGGGTCATTTTATAGCATGAATGCGAAACTGCTGGTTTTCTTCTAACGATGATTTCATCAAAATTCTCTTGATCATTTCTCGACTTTTGAGTGAAATAGAATTTCCACAAGGATACAAGGATTATATTGTTATTGAATATATTCATCAGTTTGCTGACCATTGACCGATATGGGGAAGATGCTATTAGAAACTATAGGACAAATTTGATATACAGGGCGATTCATGAAGAGAGTCACATAGCCAAATGGTGAATAGGGGAAAACAAAACAAGTTGAGATTCCATGTATGAAAGATTCTGTTGGCCTTCAATAACGAAGATATTATGTGAAATTGCCATATTATAATTTCAATGGCCAACATTTCAGATATGATTCATCCCAATTAGGCAGCGACGTTTCTTTATTCAAGATGGCATATTATAAAAAAATCACATCCGAAAAATTCATGTTCTCTTGTTATATAGAAAAAGCTCATTTTGTGATCATTTTTCTAGAAAAATTTCATCAGATTCATGGAGATCAGACATATTGCCATGAGAACTGCTCTTCAATTTGCACGACACACTTTGATCGGTTCATTAAAAAATATGAAAGAAAAACGTTCAAATGAATTTTCAATTTGAACCTACCTGATAACTCTCTCATTTCAACTGGATTCATGTGAATTCACGATAAGAATCGACAGATATAAGTAGTTGATAAAAAACCACAGAACTGTTTTTTTGGGGATTTGATATGTTCGTTTTTGATCGACATCGTGACTTGTTTCTCTTTACAAATATTTGACGTGACGTGATATCTGTTGATAATCCGAAAAGATGGGTACTGGTGAAATTATGGCATGAAGATTTTCATAAGTATTATCATATATATTATATTTTCTATATAATACAAAATATCTTCTCTACCCTTGAAAGTCTCTACTTACGTGGAATTCGCCGCTTGGTCGACCGAATGCGGCTTTTCGCCGGTTTGCCCTTCTGCCGACAAACGTTTCACCTCACACCTATAACATTCTCTGATGTTTTTATTTATCATTTCGGAGAGGAGGATTCACGGACATCGTGCTATACTTCTCTACAGGAATGCTAAAATTATCTTATAATTCCCATTCGATAATATAAAATAATGTATGGATATTGTGGCCAGTATAAAAGTTCCCAAGGAATAGGATGAAGAAACAGAAATGATGAAAAATGATATAGATAGCTGAAGTACAAACGTGAATGTGTCCTACTTTCTGAATCACACTGGTTAAATCTCAAAAACGCAAAATAAGCCTGTATTCCAATATTGAAACATAGTTTTCAGCATTCTCCGGTGAGGACGCTAGGAATCGGTGTCGAAATGTTGGAAAACATGGGATCGCGCGCCCCCACTTTTTCCCCTCTAAAAATGTTTTTTCCTGAAACAAAAACTACTGGGCTCTTCACAAAGGATGAACGGATGTTTATCTGAAAGCGGATTTTGAATTTTTGTCTTAGTTTTTTCAAAAAAAAAATTCTGAATATACTCGAAAAATGCAATGTTCATGATTTTTTTGCAGAATATCGGTGAATTTTTTCAAAATTCTACTCCCAGAGAAACCTAGATATTCCAATTCTCCATCTCACCATATTTTTTGTTTTCCGAAAAAATCAATATTGAACAATGAAAAGTGGGGGCGGAGAAATCATGTTTTCATTGCACTGATGCATGGTGTATCCTCCTCTTAAGGGAAGGTATAGGCAACTTGATTCAAAATAGTCGCATGAAATGGATGTTAATGGATGTGTCCCATGGCCCGTTTTATATGTTTAATAATCATATGCATCTGCCATTTAAAAGAAGACATCCCATAGAGGAGAAATTTCAACAACATTGATGGTTGAAATAGAAAATATTGTGAATTCCAGGCCTTCAACCCACGTCCTGTCAATAGATCGAAATTATATAGAATCCAAATCTCATTTTGAATTCAACTGAAAGTGAACTAATAGTTATCCTCGAAGATGATTTACGCATAAGACGCCAATGGAGAATTTCTGAAACTCTAACAAATATGATGATTCAATTTTAAAAAACAGTGTAGTATCTCCATGAAATTCATTTTCTATATGTGAATTGTAGTAGAGTACATCCTAGGAAATATGATAGATAGAATTTATAAACGGTCCGCTGTCGAATCGTTAGACTATATAGACCTGATTGAAGTAGTATTATAGAAGGATTACATCTCACTGAGGTGGAGAATGTGGTGTGTTGATATTTATTGAATCCTACGGAAGCGCTGAACGGACATGATACATTTTCTTTATAATTGCAAGTTTGATTTGAAAATTAGTCATAATTGCCAGTTTGAACTGGCCATTAGCCATATTTGCCAGTATCCTGTGAACCTTATATGCGGACTTGTTATTGCATGGGCTTTTAAAAATTCTTTAAATCCAATATCTCCGTCCAAATCTAATCAAACATTGAACTTCCATTGATGGTATCAACCGAGGAACTATCTTCTTCCCTTTGCATTGAATCATTTCGGAGATGTGGAATGGAATCCATTGCCAGTAGCGTTTTAATGAGGAGCTCCAACTTCCTGAGGAAAAATTTTTGGAGATGTTATGTTTATTTAAATTCGTTTCCTCATTTCTTCTACAGAAATCAGCTCATCGTGCACGAGAGACTTCGATGGAGATATGAAATACATACCCTCTAAGTAGATTCAATTTAATAATTGTCAATTTGAATCTGTTCATATTGTTTCAGAACTGACCCACTGTGACGAAAATCCAGAAATCTGTCAAAATGGCGCAAAGTGTATATCTGTGATCAAGGACGAGGGTAGTTACAAATGTTTATGCAGAGAAGGAACATCTGGACGAAATTGTGAACACTCCGAGTATCACACTGTGAAGCCTATCGCAGTGAAGCCTAGCGCAGTGAAGCCTATTCCAGTTACATCTATTGCTGAACCTGAGGAGGTTACCAGGAATTCTACCATAGACAAAATCGAAAAGGAAGTTGAATTTGCGAGTGGATATAATATAAGCACGATAACCACTTCTGCTACTACTACTACCACAACGAGTACCACCAAAGTTGGTTCATTCACTGAAAATGAGACTTAGTTGATATTTCATTGAACAAATAACCGAATGGATTCCTCATCGATTCAACAGTTCTATCAGGAAACTGTAATATACCAAACATCCAGAATAATCGAAGATCACAATAAGTCTACTGTTCGAAAAATATAAACGATTACATGCCATATATCAATTTATTGATTACATGTGAAAAATCACTTCTGATGATGAAGAATCATCACACAAAACTTTCGCATTGCAATATTGAATAATCTCAGGAAATGACATTCATCAGATAAACACATATTATGTTCTACTAAGAATGTTCCACTTATATTTTCACAAGTCAGTCCCAAGATATTCGTCAATCTTATTCAAAAGTATCAGAAAGTATATACTTAGCATTGGGGTAAGAGTGTTTGCCAACAGAATGGGGTAATTATTATCTCGGTTTCATCGATTCATTTAAATTTGTGATTTTGAAAGATGAAACTATAATGATTAACAACAAAGCCATACCAATAGGTGCTCATAGAAGGTGAAAGAGATAAATGAAATATATACCGGGTGACACAGACCTGGTATACCCCCGTTTTCTTTCTTTTTTTTCTCACATGTTTTAATTGTTTTCCATCCTCCGGTTTTTCTGGAAATAACATGAACTTCTCCAAACAAAATATCCTGTATTTCATTCCATAATCGGTTGGGGTTTTTATAACGAATCTAATACGATACCATAGGATTAATTGGGTCATTCCAAACGTTTACTAAGATATTTCCGTTTGAAGTCCCCATATGATTAATGGGTGTGACGGCGCAATATCGAATCATCTTTCCCTGTCACACTCATTGCATAAATATCATCTCCCGTCGTGAATAACCCTATCAAACCTCGTATCGTTGAATTCGTTCTACTCATCCCTAACCGATTATAGTTTAAAATATAGGGTGTTTTTTCAGAAAATCAAAAGTTGATGTGATTTTCAGGGGTGCTAGATGATGAAAACAAATTCCTGAAAATTTCGAACCCTCAAGTGAGCATATTCGATCTTTCGTATCTCAGATTTATTGCTAGAAAAACAATGGGAAAATATAAGGAAAATATCATGAGTCTGTGTAACCTATGACAATGACAATGATTGATTTTCAGCTAAAAAAAAAACATATATTCCGGCCCAAATGACACTAAAAATTGCTCTTTATTGATTTTTGACAGTCATGAAAGGTGTATTTCCACAGCCTTGGCAAAATCAGACTTTTTCCCTGTTGAATTTGCTTGAAAAATTGTTTTTCCACTACTAGCTATAAAACCTACCATTATCTACTCCTTTTCGATGCGTGCATGAAGTGTGTTTATACTACCAAAGTAGATTTCGTCATCTTTTGAACCACCAGTCAATTATAAGTATGTTAAAATTATTCCGAATTCCGACCATAGCAGGAATCAATAGCGACCTATTGTCATATGCTAGCTGTCAAGGTCATAGCTACTAGAGTCCAATTAGATTTGAAAACAAGTGCTTTTCTAGCGACAGTAGGTTCATATCTTCAGTTTCACAGAACCAAAATGATTGCAATGTATTACCATTGGTGAAAAAAAATCAATATACGCACCTGAGTACCACAGGACCTTATATCTCTTGTCTGAGGTCTTGGCATATTATCTTGGTCCTTGGGTACTACTGTTACTACCTTGGTGTATAAATATCTCTCTACCTTGGTATATACCTATATCACTCCTGCTGATTCTTGTTCGTATTGTCCCAAAATCATTTCAGAATAATTGAAATTATCATCATTTATTAGACTGTACAAATGTCATGTTACTATGTATGTAGATAGGTAATTCCATAGATAAACGACTCCCCATCACTCACCACTAATTTGAATGCAATATTTCATGTAGTGAATTCATTTTTGTTGTTTTGATCACCAATTTATTCATTGATTCAGTTATTTATTTATTTATTCCATCATTCATTTTTTACTTATTTATTTATTCATTTATTCATTCGTTTATTTATTCTTTCATTTACTTATTTATTCATTCATTATCTCTCAATATTTTTCGTCATGATACTATACCTTCCTAAAGCTATACCTATATCTTCCTTATTCAAGTGGTATTGCGCAAGCGAATGATTGTGCGTATTCGTTGAATTTAATCTTAACGCGGATTCAATGAAATTGATATCTATATTGTTGATCTATATGAATTGTACTCAAATCTAGTGAGATTATATATAAATATATACCTAACTTATAATTATGATATTTCGAAACAAAAAATAAAGCATCAAAATGAGTGTATTTATTTATGATATTTTCATCTTTTTCCTCTATTCTGAAATCGTCAAATCTTGGTATTACCGATTAATACCTATGTTCAGTGTGCAATGTTTTGCTAGTATATTCTACAACACCTGAATTGAGAATGGAAGTCGAAACACGTGTCTAACTCCTCATGAGGGCTATGTCCAATAATTTTGACCTTGTTTGCTCAAAACAGTCTCTTCAATAATCCTTTCAGCATAATTCTACGAGTTGCGACTGGCTTCTGTTTGTTGACTCCGTCTATTCGTTGTTTCGTCTTCCACTAAGTGTTGTCTATCTTTTGCACACTTTTTTCACCATACTGATGAGGGCCGGTAGTCCGAAACACGTATCTACGGTTAACTTCTTATGAGGGCTATGGCCAATAAATTATATATACAGGGTGATTCAGAATTTCATGTGAATATTCCGAGGACATATTGTTCGGATCAAGATAGAACTTTTTCCTTTCATAAACATTTGTCCTGAAATTCACCCCCATCAAGCTACAGCTACTGTAAGTTAGGTGCAGAAAAAAATCTGAAATTGTGACTAAAGTACATAACGGATCAAAACTTCTGAAAATTAGCATGCCCTGTTCCTTTTAGAATCATGTCATGAAATCAAATTCTGTTAAATTTCGACAAACTGCTTGGTTCTCGACTTTGCGAATAGGAAAAAAACAGGAAACGGGAAATATTGGAAAAATCTTGGATGTTGAGAATAATATCCCCACAAGTTCTCTGTTCAGAGCAAATGCCATTAGCACTGAATACTTCAAAAAAACCGCACATGTTATGTGGGCGATAAGTTCAGAACTTTGAAGACAAGGGTGTTATCCTATCTTCCCTAGGAACGCACGTTGTTCTTTGAACATTAAATATAGGGATTTCCTTTCGTGCGCTCCAAACGATGAAGGATGAAAAATAAAAAACAAAGTGCCAGAAGGTATATACTCTAATATTTCGCTCATGTTCAATGTCTGTTTTTTTATCAATGCAGTGTCTAACTTGAAAAATGAAAGACATCTCTAGAAAATTCCTTATTGAATAAATACTTTCTGTGAATAGAATATTCGCTGACTGACAATCCATATCATTATCCATTTTATTTACATTACCTGTAAGGGCACATCCCTCTGGATGTTGTCTATAAAGTCGCTTCTGTGGAAGGTGATTCGGCTGGCTAAATATAGTGTTGGTCACAATCTGCGCAGGGGATACTGTAGACCACATTTGTACGTGCCGTTATAGGGACATCATCTTCAATTTTTGAATAAATTGATTTTAATGTGAAGACAGTATTCATAGCAATTTTGATATTCATTTTCAGACTCTGTCAAAATATTCCTGACAGCTTGGGAGTCAAATCTCTTTCCTACTCTTTCCAGGACAAACTTTTTATACAGCAGCCAATACAACTTTCTTATTTCAAATGCAGCACACTGCATTGCATTCATTGTTTCCAAATTTGATGTGAAGTGTCATATGACTTTTTATACCATTATATATACTTGTCTATCTCATAATAAATCTTTGGTATAAGTTCATATCCATTAGTATCCATAAGTGGAGTGAAATTTTTCAAAGGAAGGTATCAATGCTCGAAGTCATCTCCAGAAATTTTGATGTGCTGTTACACAATCAGAAGGAGCATGTTTTGGTCATATTAAAGACCATCTTCAGCATAGTTGCTGGTTAGGTTGACAAACCATATGATTCAATTTTCTCAATAAATAAAAATGTAACAAGTCAAATCTGAAGGCCAGCTGGCCACCCAAAACATGCTTACCCTTCCAATACACTTGCCAGGATATACTCATTTATAATCTGAATATAGCAGAATGACCAGGCATTCATCATGTTGGAAAGATAGATTTCTTCTTGTTTCTAAGGCTTTATCTACTATCAGAAGAGATAGATGATCACGCACAAAATCAAGATAAATATACTGATTGAGCTTCTCATTGAAAATATAATAATAATATAATCTTTCACCGATAACTCCGCACGCAAACACCTCGATATTGAACTTTCTGCATCCAATAAGGATCATTCTGGAGCAATATTGCATGTTATGTGAATTAACTCCTCCATCGCTGTTCAACTCTCCTGAATCTGTCTATTGAAAATTACATAGATACCGAAGATCTTTTCTCAGCATGGTCAAGGATCCAGTGACTAGACTCTTGACATCTGTCGTAGTCTATTTGCTATTAATATGCGCGGAATAATTCAGATTTGAGATAACCTGGAAAGTGAATAGGGGGTGGTAGCATGTTAAGATGGCCAGCTTGAGGAAGACAGGAATTTGAGATTCTAGAAAGACCCTAGCGCTACTAATTATTACAGTCCCTATATATAATATATAATTACTTTTCAATATCCTTTGCATCATTTCTCCGGTTTCTCAAAAGTATCGATTCGCGGTTCTCAAAATTCTCCTTTTCATTTGCTTTACTTTCATAAGGAAACTGGAAAATTGTCTGATTCTTCAAACGATGTCAACTAGCGGCCACCACGGGACTCAAATCGATTTGATTCACGATTCATCTGGGAAAACTGAAGAACCCTTCATGATGAGACCAACTTCCTCTAAATCAGTTACACCAAACTTCAGTTATAAGAGGTTTCATAGCGCGAATTATCTTCCCCTCCCTATTTTATTAAAAGAGCTAGAAATTTTTTTCCAATAGAGGTGATTGGAAGTCAATTTGAAATCATCAAAGAAGTGTTGTTGACATATCTCGAATTTGGTACCGTGGTCGTCCATTGGACGTCTATGGTACGCACAAATGTCCCACTTGAGGACCAACTATAGGGACATCCTTG